AATTTTGGTCCAATTTTCCCTTTCCAAAAGTGACAATTTTGGTCCAGTTTTCACGTTCCAAAAGTCACAATTTTGGTCCAATTTTCACTTTCCAAAAGTGACAATTTTAGTCCAATTCTCCCTTTCCAAAAGTGACAATTTTAGTCCAATTTTCCCTTTCCAAAAGTGACAATTTTGGTCCAATTTTCACTTTCCAAAAGTGACAATTTTAGTCCAATTTTCACTTTCCAAAAGTGACAATTTTGGTCCAATTTTCACTTTCAAAAGTCACAATTTTAGTCCAATTTTCACTTTCCAAAAGTGACAATTTTGGTACAATTTTCACTTTCAAAAGTCACAATTTTAGTCCAATTTTCACTTTCCAAAAGTCACAATTTTGGTACAATTTTCACTTTCCAAAAGTGACAATTTTGGTCCAATTTTCTCTTTCCAAAAGTGACAATTTTGGTCCAATTTTCCCATTCCAAAAGTCACAATTTTGGTCCAGTTTTCCCTTTCTAAAAGTGACAATTTTGGTCCAATTTTCCGTTTCCAAAATTGACAATTTTGGTCCAGTTTTCCCATTCCAAAAGTCACAATTTTAGTCCAATTTTCTCTTTCCAAAAGTGACAATTTTGGTCCAATTTTCCCATTCCAAAAGTCACAATTTTAGTCCAATTTTCTCTTTCCAAAAGTGACAATTTTGGTCCAATTTTCCCATTCCAAAAGTCACAATTTTAGTCCAATTTTCCCATTCCAAAAGTGAAAATTTTGGTCCAGTTTTCCCTTTCCAAAAGTGACAATTTTGGTCCAATTTTCACTTTCCAAAAGTCACAATTTTAATCCAATTTTCCCTTTCCAAAAGTCACAATTTTGGTCCAATTTTCTCTTTCCAAAAGTGACAATTTTGGTCCAATTCTCACTTTCCAAAATTGACCATTTTGGTCCAATTTTCCCTTTCCAAAACTCACAATTTTAGTCCAATTTTCCCATTCCAAAAGTCACAATTTTAGTCCAATTTTCCCTTTCCAAAAGTGACCATTTTGATCCAGTTTTCCCATTCCAAAAGTGACAATTTTGATCCAGTTTTCCCATTCCAAAAGTGACAATTTTAGTCCAATTTTCCCTTTCCAAAAGTGACAATATTGGTCCAATTTTCCCTTTCCAAAAGTGACAATTTTGGTCCAATTTTCCCTTTCAAAAAGTCTTAAATTTTTGTGATAAAGCCAATTTTTGCCTAATTTTTCTGCTTTTCAGACCAGGTGTCTTTGGGCTCAAACTCCTGTTTTTTTTTGCTGTCGAGGGATTTATTGTAAAATCTTGGTGGGATTAATGCAGAGAGCAGCCGAGAGGTTTAACTCCAGAACTGGTGGTTTATTCTTGATAAAAATTCAAAATTAAATTCCCTTCGGGCCAGAAGTTCTGCTTGGGGAGACCTGGCCCTGTGGACAGACGTTAAATATAAATATAAATAGTTAAATATATATAAAACTAGAAATATAAATAAACATAAATATAAACATAAACATAAACATAAATATAAATATAAATATAAATATAAATATAAATATAAATATAAATAGATAATATTTAGATAAATATAAAATTTATTTATATTTATATATAAATATATAAAATACATATAAATATTATTTATCTGTATATAAATATCAATATTATGTATATAAATATAAATTATATAAAAATATATAAATGTAATATTAATATTATGTATATAAATATAAATAATATAATATATATAAATCAAATATAAATATTATAAATATAACTATAAATAATATATATACACATTTCTAAAAATATAAATATAAATAATATATAGATAATATATTTAGATAAATACAAAATTTATTTAGATTTATATATAAATATATAAAATACATATAAATATTATTTATCTTTATATAAATAGTGATATTATGTATATAAATATAAAAATATAAAAATATATAAATTAAACATAAATATTATACATATAAATATAATTAATATATAAAAATTAAATATAAATATTATAAATACAAATATAAATAATATAAATATATATATAATTATAAAAATATAAATATAAATAATATATAGATAATATATTTAGATACACATAAAATTTATTTATATTTATATTTATATTTATATATAAATATATAAAATGCATATAAATATTATTTATCTTTATATTGATATCAATATTATGTATATAAATATAAATAATATAAATATATAAAAATTTAATATTAATATCATATATATAAATATAAATAATATAAATATATATAATAAATATAAATATTATAAATATAAATATAAATAATATAAAAATATATAAATTTCTAAAAATGAATGAATGTCACCTTCATTAAGGAATTACGAATTTATTCCATTTAGTGCCAAAGGAGCTCGTGATAAATAACAACAGGGTGGATTTTTGAGAGTTTTGTAATTATAGGAATTATTCACAATCATTTTTTATTGGGTAGTTACTTTCTTTCCTATTACTTAAATTAAACCCTTTTAAGTGTTTTTTTCCCCCCAAACCCTTTTAAGTGTTTTTTTCCCCCCAAATTTCCACATCAATACAGGATCAGGGATCCTGACCCCACAATTCCTGTTTGGAGCCATCCCAAAATCCTGCTCTCCTGAGGATGGAATTCCCTCATGGCTGCTGCAGTGTTTCTTTCCTATTGCTTGGATTAAACCCTTTTAAGTGGGTTTTTTTCCCCAAATTTTCCCCCAAACCCTTTTAAGTGTTTTTTTCCCAAAATTTCCACATCAGTACAGGATCAGGAATCCTGACCCCACAATTCCTGTTTGGATCCACCCCAAAATCTGCTCTCCTGAGGATGGAATTCCCTCATGGCTGCTGCAGTTTCTTTCCCACTGCTTGGATAAAACCCTTTTAAGCGGGTTTTTTTTCCCCAAATTTTCCCCCAAACCTTTTTAAGAGGTTTTTTCCCCCAAATTTCCACATCAATACAGGATCAGGAATCCTGACCCCACAATTCCTGTTTGGATCCATCCCAAAATCTGCTCTCCTCAGGATGGAATTCCCTCATGGCTGCTGCAGTTTCTTTCCTATTACTTAGATTAAACCCTTTTAAGTGGTTTTTTTTTTCCCCAAACCCTTTTAAGAGGTTTTTTCCCCCCAAATTTCCACATCAGTACAGGATCAGAGGGGAGCTCTGATTGTCTGTCCCCACAATTCCTGTTTGGATCCATCCCAAAATCCTGCTCTCCTGAGGATGGAATTCCCTCACGGCTGCTGCAGTTTCTTTCCTATTACTTAGATTAAACCCTTTTAAGTGGGTTTTTTTCCCCAAATTTTCCCCAAACCCTTTTAAGTGTTTTTTTCCCCCAAATTTCCACATCAATACGAGATCAGAGGGGAGCTCTGATTGTCTGACCCCACAATTCCTATTTGGAGCCATCCCAAAATCTGCTCTCCTGAGGATGGAATTCCCTCATGGCTGCTGCAGTGTTTCTTTCCTATTACTTTGATTAAACCCTTTTAAGTGTTTTTTTTTCCCCAAATTTTCCCCAGAACCCTTTTAAGAGGTTTTTCCCCCAAATTTCCACATCAATGCGAGATCAGAGGGGAGCTCTGATTGTCTGACCCCACAATTCCTGTTTGGATCCATCCCAAAATCTGCTCTCCTGAGGATGGAATTCCTTCATGGCTGCTGCAGTTTCTTTCCTATTACTTAGATTAAACCCTTTTAAGTGGGTTTTTTTCCCCCAAATTACTCCCCAAACCCTTTTAAGAGGTTTTTTCCCCCAAATTTCCACATCAATACAGGATCAGGAATCCTGACCCCACAATCCCTGTTTGGAGCCATCCCAAAATCCTGCTCTCCTGAGGATGGAATTCCCTCAATGTTTCTTTCCCATTGCTTGGATAAAACCCTTTTAAGTGGTTTTTTTTTCCCCAAACCCTTTTAAGTGTTATTTTCCCCCAAATTTCCACATCAATACGAGATCAGAGGGGAGCTCTGATTGTCTGACCCCACAATTCCCATTTGGATCCATCCCAAAATCCTGCTGTCCTCAGGATGGAATTCCCTCATGGCTGCTGCAGTTTCTTTCCTATTACTTAGATTAAACCCTTTTAAGTGGGTTTTCCCCCCAAATTTTCCCCCAACCCTTTTAAGTGTTTTTTTCCCCCAAATTTCCACATCAATATGAGATCAGAGGGGAGCTCTGATTGTCTGACCCCACAATTCCTGTTTGGATCCATCCCAAAATCCTGCTCTCCTGAGGATGGAATTCCCTCATGGCTGCTGCAGTTTCTTTCCTATTACTTAGATTAAACCCTTTTAAGTGTTTTTTTTCCCCCCAAACCCTTTTAAGTGTTTTTTCCCCCCAGATTTCCCCATCAATACAGGATCAGGAATCCTGACCCCACAATTCCTGTTTGGATCCATCCCAAAATCTGCTCTCCTAAGGATGGAATTCCCTCATGGCTGCTGCAGTGTTTCTTTCCTATTACTTAGATTAAACCCTTTTAAGTGTTTTTTTTCCCCAAATTTTCCCCCAAACCCTTTTAAGTGGGTTTTTTTTTTCCCAAACCCTTTTAAGTGTTTTTCCCCCCCAGATTTCCCCATCAGTACAGGATCAGGAATCCTGACCCCACAATTCCTGTTTGGATCCATCCCAAATCCTGCTGTCCTGAGGATGGAATTCCCTCAATGTTTCTTTCCCATTGCTTGGATAAAACCCTTTTAAGTGTTTTTTTTTCCCCAAATTTTCCCCCAAACCCTTTTAAGTGTTTGATCTGTGAGGTTTTCAGGCCGGGCTGATCTCCCTGAAGAGTTTTTCTGGGCTGGTGAGAACCTGGCCAGAGCCTGGAATTCCTGAGGGAGGGAGATGGGAAACCCAAGAATTCCAAGAAGGAATTGAGCAGAAAAGAGCAGAAATACAAATAAAGGGCAGGAGCCGACAGCAGCTGAGCCGGGGGACAAAGGAGTCGGTGGAATAATGTTCTTTTCCTCATTTTCTCCCCGCAGGTCCCTCAGATGAGCCGCCCCGATCTGATCCTGTTCCTCATGAAGTACCTGATGGCTTTGGTGGTGGGGATCCCCTCGGTGTTCTGGGTTGGAAGCAAGAAAACCTGTTTTGAGTGGGCCAGTTTCTTCCACGGGCGCAGGAAAAAGGAGTGAGCACGGATATTTTACACACCCTTGTGCCCCGGGAGAGTTTGGGTTGGGTTTTTGTGAGATAAAGGATGGAAAAGGCGTTATCCAAACAGCTCAACAACTCCCTTATTGCTCCCTAAACATTCTTTGTTCCCAGAATCTGATCTCAGTTTGTCCATCTTCAAAATGGTTTTAACAAGAATTAAGTATTGAATAAACTGCAACTACTCAGTGAGAGGTGGGATGGAAACTTTTATTTATAAACGTGCACGTAGCCAGCTGAATCGGAGCTTTAAATTGGAATAACAGGGACATTATAATGTAAATAATGTAAATAACAGGGACATTATCATGTAAATAAGGTAAATAACAGGGGCATTATAATGTAAATAATGTAAATAACAGGGGCATTATCATGTAAATAATGTAAATAATGTAAATAACAGAGACATTATCATGTAAATAATGTAAATAACAGGGACATCATCATGTAAATAACGCTCTTGCTCGCCAAGCCCCGCTATTTTTGGAACACACATAAATTATATATGTTCCTTTTCCGGGTTAAGTAAAGGTCAGAAAGCTTTCAGTGACTCCTCCCTGACTTTTGGCCCATCCTAAAGGATTGAACTGGGCTAAAATACAGGGGGGGACTGAAATAACCACGCGGGGAGGCGCTTCAAAATCAGGCACATTATAATGTAAATAACGTAAATAGTGTAAATAATGTAAATAATGTAAATAATTTAAATAATTTAAATAATGTAAGTGATGTAAATAACAGGGACATTATAATGGAAATAACAGGGACATTATAATGGAAATAACAGGGACATTATAATGTAAATAAGGTAAATAACAGGGACATAATAATGTAAATAATGTAAATAATGTAAATAACAGGGACATTATAATGGAAATAATGTAAGTAATGTAAATAATGTAAATAATGTAAATAATGCAAATAATGTAAATAACAGGGACATTATAATGTAAATAACAGGGACATTATAATGTAAATAACAGGGACATTATAATGTAAGTAATGTAAATAATGTAAATAATGTAAATAATGTAAATAACAGGGACATTATAATGTAAATAAGGTAAATAACAGGGACATCATAATGTAAATAATGTAAATAACAGGGACATTATAATGTAAATAACAGGGACATTATAATGTAAATAATGTAAATAATGTAAATAATGTAAACAACAGGAACATTATAATGGAAATAATGTAAATAACAGGGACATTATCATGTAAATAATGTCAATAATGTCAATAATATAAATAAGGTAAACAACAGGAACATTATAATGGAAATAATGTAAATAACAGGGACATTATCATGTAAATAATGTAAATAATGTAAATAACAGGGACATTATAATGTAAATAATGTCAATAATATAAATAAGGTAAACAACAGGAACATTATAATGGAAATAATGTAAATAACAGGGACATTATCATGTAAATAATGTAAATAATGTAAATAACAGGGACATTATAATGTAAATAAGGTAAATAACAGAGACATTATAATGTAAATAATGGAAATAATGTAAATAATGTAAATAACAGGGACATTATAATGTAAATAAGGTAAATAACAGGGACATTATCATGTAAATAATGTAAATAATGTAAATAATGTAAATAACAGGGACATTATAATGTAAATAATGTAAATAACAGGGACATTATAATGGAAATAACACAATAACACGGACATTATCATGTAAATAAGGTAAATAACAGGGACATTATCATGTAAATAATGTAAATAATGTAAATAACAGGGACATTATAATGTAAATAACAGGGACATTATAATGTAAATAATGTAAATAATGTAAATAACAGGGACATTATAATGTAAATAAGGTAAATAACAGGGACATTATCATGTAAATAATGTAAATAATGTAAATAATGTAAATAACAGGGACATTATAATGTAAATAAGGTAAATAACAGGGGCATTATAATGTAAATAATGTAAATAACAGGGACATTATCATGTAAATAATGTAAATAATGTCAATAATATAAATAAGGTAAACAACAGGAACATTATAATGGAAATAATGTAAATAACAGGGACATTATAATGTAAATAATGTAAATAATGTCAATAATATAAATAAGATAAACAACAGGAACATTATAATGGAAATAATGTAAATAACAGGGACATTATAATGTAAATAATGTAAATAATGTAAATAACAGGGACATTATCATGTAAATAATGTAAATAACAGGGACATTATCATGTAAATAATGTAAATAATGTCAATAATATAAATAAGGTAAACAACAGGAACATTATAATGTAAATAATGTAAATAACAGGGACATCATCATGTAAATAATGTAAATAACAGGGACATTATAATGTAAATAATGGAAATAATGGAAATAATGTAAATAACAGGGACATTATCACGTAAATAATGTAAATAATGTAAATAATGTAAATAACAGGGACATTATCATGTAAATAACGCTCTTGCTCGCCAAGCCCTGCTACTTGTCGTGTTCGCCGCTTCCCCAGCGCGCTAATTAACACTGATTAATTGCTCAGGGTTGTGAACGAGAGCCGGCAGGTGCTGCAGGAGCCGGACTTTGCGCAGGCGCTGCTGCGGGACCCCACCACGCCCGTCGTCCGCAAGTCGCGGGGCACGTCCACGCAGGGCACGTCCACGCACGCCTCCTCCACGCAGCTGGCGGTGCTGGACGAGCCGCGCAGCAAGGCCGGCAGCGTGCACAGCAAAGTCAGCAGCTACCACGGCAGCCTGCACCGCTCGCGGGACGGACGGTACGGCACGGCGCAGGGGGAAGGGAGACAGAGAAATTCCCAAAACCCGGGGCTTTAGGGGGGTTCGGGTGGGAAGGGAGCCCAGAGAAATTCCCAAAACCCGGGGCTTTAGGGGTGGTTGGGGTGGGAAGGGAGCCCAGAGAAAGTTCCTAATGCCTCCCAGAACACGGGGCTCTAATTAGGGGTGGTTCGCGTGGGAAGGGAGCCCAGAGAAAGCTCCTAACACCTCCCAAAACCCAGGGCTCTAATTAGGGGTGGTTCGTGTGGGAAGGGAGCAGAAAGAAATCCCGTTCCACCTCCCAAAACTTGGGGCTTTAGGGGCTTCGGGTGGGAAGGGAGCAGAAAGAAATCTCCTAACTCCTCCCAAACCCGGGACTTTAGGGGTGGTTCGGTGGGAAGGGAGCAGAAAGAAATTCCCAGAACCCGGGGCTCCACGTGTGATTTGGGTGGGAAGGGAGCCCAGAGAAATTCCCAAAACTCGGGGCTTTAGGGCTGGTTGGGGTGGGAAGGGAGCGGAAAGAAAGCTCCTAGCATCTCCCAGAACCCGGCGCTTTAGGGGTGGTTCAGTGGGAAGGGAGCCCAAAGAAATTCCCAAAGCCCGGGACTCCACGTGTGATTCAGATAGGAAGGGAGCAGAAAGAAATGTCCTAACTCCTCCCAAAACTCGGGGCTTTAGGGCTGGTTGGGGTGGGAAGAGAGCCGAAATAAATTCCCAAAACCCGGGGCTTTAGGGCTGGTTGGGGTGGGAAGGGAGCAGAAAGAAATTCCGTTCCACCTCCCAAACTCGGGGCTTTAGGGGTGCTTCGGGTGAGAAGGGAGTGGAAAGAAATTCCCAAAACTCGGGGCTCCACGTGTGATTCACGTGGGAAGGGAGCAGAAAGAAATCCCGTTCCACCTCCCAGAACCCGGGGCTTTAGGGGTGCTTCGGGTGGGAAGGGACGGAAATAAATTCACAAAACTCAGGTCTTTACGGGTGGTTGGGGTGGGAAGGGAGCCCAAAGAAAGCTCCTAGCGCCTCCCAAAACTCAGGGCTTTAGGGGTGCTTCGGTGGGAAGGGAGCCCAAAGAAATTCCCAAAACCCGGGGCTTTAGGGGTGCTTCAGGTGGGAAGGGAGCCCAGAGAAAGCTCCTAACTCCTCCCAAAACCCAGGGCTTTAGGGGGGTTCGGGTGGGAAGGGAGTGGAAAGAAATTCCCAAAACCCAGGGATTTAGGGGTGGTTCGGGTGGGAAGGGAGCCCAAAGAAATTCCCAAAACCCGGGGCTCCACGTGTGATTCACGTGGGAAGGGAGCCCAAAGAAATCCCGTTCCACCTCCCAAAACCCGCGGCTGTAGGGGTGGTTTGGTGGGAAGGAAGCCCAAAGAAAGCTCCTAACTCCTCCCAGAACGCGGGGCTTTAGGGGTGGTTGGGGTGGGAAGGTGCCGAGCTCACCTCTAGGTCTGGAGTGGCTCCGTGTGGTGGAAAAGTCTCTCCTCCAACCTGTGCTTCCAGAGAAAGGATCAGAAGTTTTCTGTTGTTCGGTCTCAAGGCAGTTTATTGCAAGTTATCTAAAAGATTTTCTTCTTGAGCTGCTCAGTTTGCTCACAGCTCAGGCAGAGGCACACACACACCCTGACATCCTCTCTGACTCCCGACTGCTTCTTCTCTCCCCACCCAGGGCTGGTTGCTACCTTTTATATGGTACATTACATATTAAATGGTTACAGTTTTTCCCCAATACCTACTATCTATATTAAATGGTGCTTTTTTACTCTAAACCTGATGGTGCCAACATTACCAAGAACATGGAGGTGAGGAAGAAGAAAGAGGAAGGTCAGGACAGGTCCAAATCCCTCCATCTTAAACTTCCGACCCCCATGTACAGAACTAAACCCCCCTGTACAGCACTCAAAAATTCTTCCCTTTACTTTGTGACTACTTCTACTCTAATATCTAAACTTTTGTGACTTCTTGTTCTTCCTGCAAGGTTGGTAAATCGTTCCATGGTTCAAACCCAAAATCACAGCTGTTTCCAGCTGCTGCCAGGGTCTCAAATGCTTCTGAGCTGGGCCCGGAACATCCAAAAATGTCTGAGGGACGTTTTGGGTTCCGGCAGGAAGGGAGTGGAAAGAAATCCCCTTCCACCTCCCCGGGACGCCTCGCACGCTCCCAGGTCGCTCCAAGCGAACAATTCCAGATGTGGGCAGGCCACTGGGCAGATGTTGTGCAGAGGATTGATGGTCCCTTCCAGCCAGACACGTAATTCCGCTAAAATTGGGTGTTTTGGTGCAAATCCTCTCCCTGCTGGTGTCGGGGCTGGAAGGAGGAAAAACGCCGTGCGATTTTCAGAGTGGGTGCTGCTGAATTAATTAATGGCAGGGCTCTTTCACGGCTCTAATTACCACCCCGAGCGAGAGGCGTTGTGTGAGGGGATGAGCCGAGCTTGGAGCCGCGCTGATCCCACCCGTTGTCGTGGTTTGACACGGAAAAAGAATTTTTTTAGAAGGAAGAGGTCAGTTTGGACAGTGACCAATTGAAGGTGGACACGGCTCTGAGAACACAGAGGGGTTAAAAGCAGAATTCCCAGGAGAACTCGCTTTTTTTGGGTTCCAGTCAGCGGTCAGTGCAGGACTCTCCCTAACCCTTCCTGAGAAATGAAAGCTTTGTGAAATTTTTCTCCTCCTTGGTTTGAAAAGAGAGGAAGAGAGACAGCCTGAAACCTGAGATGTTAGAGAAATTCTAGGTGGGAGGAGATGATGGAGTGGCTTTTGGCTGGACTTTTTCTTGGTAGCCACAGACTGAACTGATCTCCTCCTCCAAAGAGAAACTGTATTTTGGGAAGATGCTGGTGAGCCAAAGAGACCTGCTTCAGCTGGGAAAAGACAGAAGTGGAGCGAACAGAGAAAAGTTAAGGAGGGCATCCTTGAAAGGAAAAATCCTAAAAGCAGTCTGTCCATCCATGCATTGGTGGTGAGAGCACCGTGCATGGAAAGGAGAGGGTCACCATTGGCAAACTTTTTTCTCTGGGCGGTGCCATGTGGTGACATGGAAGCACAGGGTGTGGCAGCTGTGTTTTTGGGGGGTCTGTGGCACAGGAGGGACTCCTCTCTCCCTGCAGATGGGCTGGGTGTTGGTTATCTGTCAATGGGCTGGGTGTTGATTATCTGTCGATGGGCTGGGTGTTGATTATCTGTCGATGGACTGGGTGTTGATTATCTGTCAATGGGCTGGGTGTTGATTATCTGTCGATGGGCTGGGTATTGATTATCTGTCAATGGACTGGGTGTTGATTATCTGGAGGGTGGAAACCTGATTGGGGTCCAGATTGTGTCTCGCTGTGATTTGTTGGAGTTGGGTGGTGAGAGGAGAAATACTTTGGAAGGTTTTCATTTTAAATAGTGTGAGTTTTCTTTCTTCTTTTTTTCCCCCCCTCTTTTATAATAGCATAGTGGTAGTAGTTTAATAAAGTATTTTTCTCTTGTTATTAAGCTCGGGCCTGCTTTGCGCTGTTCTCGATGGCATTTCACAGCATTCAGTTGAGAGATTTTCATGTTGCCAGTGTCAAACCATACCACCCGTGTTTCCCCACCAGGTACACTCCCTGCAGCTTCCGCGGCGTGGAGGAGCGGCTCCCTCACGGCAGCACGTCGCGGCTGAACGACCACTCGCGGCACAGCAGCTGCCACCGCCTGAACGAGCAGTCGCGGCACGGCAGCGCCCGGGACCTGGGCAGCGTCCGGGACCTGGGCAGCGTCCGGGACCTGGGCAGCGTCCGGGACCTGGGCAGCGTCCGGGACCTGGGCAGCGCCCGGGACCTCGGCAGCACCGGCGCGCTCACACACATCACCCACGGCAGCGCCATCGGGGTCATCGAGGAGGATGGCACCAGTGCCTGAGTGGCCTTCCTCGGCCAGGTGAGGACCTTCCTCGGCCAGGTGAGGACCTTCCTCAGCCTCTCGGCAGCTGCGGGAAGCCGCCCTCGGCTTCTCTGAGTGAAAAGGTGGTTGTGTGCTCTGGACCTCTCTGTAGGTAGTTATTTATTTGGTGACTGTTCCTCGTCGGGCACGACTGATGGATTTCTGATTCTCTTGGAAAACAATCTCTCCCTTCCTTCCCCTGTGTCCCTCCTTCCTTGGGCTCCACGTGCCCCGAAATCCAAATTCCCAAAATCCGAAATCCCGGTGCCAGGAGCTGTTCTGGTGAGACTCGAGGGAACTCGTGCTGGCTGAAGGAATCCCTCGGTGCGAGTGGCAGCGTTGGGTGACACTGCAAACGCCGCAGGAATGAGCACTGTGGAGAGGGAAACTCCTCTGAGGATCACCAGCTCCTCCCAGAGCTGCCCAGGGTGGGGGGAAGAGACAGGCAGGGGAATAGCGATTTTTTTATAAAACTTGTATTGTCCTTGCTTTTTTACGAAAGACTATTTAAATTTTCTACTCGTTTACAATTTCTGTAGAAGAGATGGGTTTTAAAAGCAGTTACCTAGATGATATTCAGCCATTTATTTTTTAGAGTCATGTACAAAAGCTGAGATTGCCTGTTCCTGATCTATTTAAAAAAAAAAAAAAGATATTATCAGAGGAAAGCTGAATTTGTCACCCAAGCAGGGATGTAGAGGGAGTTGCTACAGCCAGAGCTGAGCCTGTTTCAAACCCCAGCGCTGGGTGAAGAAGGCTGAGGCAGCAGCAGAGGAGTCCCACCTTCCTCGTGTGTCAGGGCTCTCTGTGCTGAGCAAAAATTCAGAGGTGTGAGGGAAACTGAGGCAGGAGCTGTGCCCAGATGGGGAGGAGGAGGATGGAAGGACCAGGGCGTTCCTTGAGGAGGAGACAGAATCCCCAGGTCGGGGGGTTGCAGATCTGCCTCTGCTGTGGTTGTTTTCATCCCCTTCCTCGGATTCATGGCAGGGAATTCCCAGTCTGGGCTTTTTTTTTGTGTGGAAAGGATCCCACGGGAAACACTGGAGGCAGAAGTCAAGGATGGTGCTGGACTGTGGAATTCGTCCAGCAAAGCTACCTCAGTAATCACTGCTGGGAAACAAATCCTTCTTTTTGCATCACCTGCTGTGGAATAAAGGCTCCCAGATTTATCCCAGAGTGTCTCCCTTGCTCCCACCGGCTCGGAGGAGGGGAAGGCGGAGCTTTGCTTTGTTGTCAGAGCTGTGGAAAACCCTTTGGAGGGACTTAAACTGGAGAAGCTGCAGCTCCCTGGAAGCCTCCAGGGTGGAACCTTTGCTCTTTCCAAATTCAGCTCCTCCTGACTCGTGTGCTGCCTCAAAGGGGTGATCTGGTCGAAATCTGGATAAGCTGAGTTTCCCTTAACACTGAAACCAAACGAAATAAGCTCAAGGGTTTACATTGATCCTCTTGGCTCAATTTCCAGTATTTTGTTTTTTTAATAAATTGTAGCACTGCTTTGACTTGTTTAGAGACAGGGAGAGGAGCGCTGCTGGAGCTTGGAGAAGGATCCTGCTGGAAACGTTAATTTGTGAGGCTCAGGATGGGAATATCTAAGTGGTGTCTTGCTGACCCTAAAGGGACAGGCTCCTGTCACCCCAAAGAGGTGATTAAACTCAAACTGGGGTTCTGGCTGGGATTTTTGCCTCCCTGCCCTCGCCCTTCTCCCTTCAACACCTGAGCCAGCAGCACGCTGTCCTCTCCGTGGGCAGAGAGGAATTCCTCCCTCACCCGTGGAAGAATGTGGAAAGCTCCCAAATCACGGTGTGCAGGGGCTCTGAAGCACATCCCATTGGAATGTGGCCCCACCAGCATCTCAGGCAGGGCACCAGGAGTGATTTTGGGGTGCTTTGCTACCTGGTGAGAGCTCCAGCCCGGGTTTGTGGGATTGCTGGCGAGCTTTAAATTCCCCCCGAGCTTCTGCAGCCACCGAGGGGCTCTGGGCTATTCCCCCGAGCTTCTGCAGCGAGTCCAGCAAGGAGGGAAGGGAAGGGAAGGGAAAATCCCTCAGGAGGAGCACAGGGATGAGAGCCAGGCCACATTCCAGGGATCCCAAAAAGCAGCGGGGAGCCGGCAGCTGACAGCAGAGCACGGGAGACATCCCTAACTCCACCTCGAGAATGTCCATTGAATGTGAAGCTTTACCCCCGTCCCCTTGTGCTGCTTTTCTGACGGGATCAGGATTGATTTTCCCCACCCCGAGGAGCGGCGTTTTCCCGATTTTTCCTGATTTTTCCTGATTTTTCCCTGTCGCTCCGTGCATGTAGCACTCCGATGTCCCCGCTGTGGCATCGCCTGGCTCCTCGGGAAGGGGAAGGAGCTCCCAGGAATGTGTGGGGGGAGCTCCCAGGAATGTGTGGGGCAGCCCCTGCCCCCGGCTGACCCCACTTGCACTCGGCTCTTGGTAGATTTGTTTACAGTAGTCCCGTGTCGGTTTTGTAACGTTTAATTTTTAGCACTTTAACTGTGAGTGTACAAACTGGTTCCCTTGTAGTTGGTGTACATTTTCATTTTAGACCTTTGGAAGTTTTTAATAAAACGATGGAAAAACTCTGGCAACGGGTTTTTAATTCTTCTGTGAGTGTAATCCAACCCCCCTTAGAAACCAGTGCAGCAGCAGTTGAGATATAAAGGTTAAAGAATTAAAATATCAGATTTTACTCTGGCCAGCAGCTCTGTGAATTTGAAGAAAGACTTTCTAGACTTAATCTCCCCCCAACATCTGCCCTCGTGGATGCCGGGCACCGTTCCAGCACACACAAAGCTCTGCTTTGCAAGAACAGACCCTCAAACCGCCAGGATTTCACAGGGGAGAGGAGGGGAGAACAAACAGGTTTGGAGCAGCAAGGCCAGGGATGTTTGCAGGTTCTTACTGCCAGATCCAAGCTGCTTTGGCCCTCCCGAGGAGTTCAAGGAGCTGCAGGTGAGGGAAAGTGGAAAAAGGAGCTGGAGGAGGGTTTGTGCTGGGGGCAGAGGCCGAGGTCAGGTCAGACCCCCAGGCTGGGGTTAGGGGTGTGGGTGTTTTACTCACAATCACATTCCTGACGCACTTTAACACCCCGCTGCAGTTTTGGGGTCAGCTTTGTCTCTCAGCTCTGCCCTTG